GGCTTGCACCCAGGTAAGCATCAGTAGAAGCCAAACTGGGGCTGGAGCAACCTGCACCAAATCAAGCCTCAGCAGAAGGCAGGGCTGGAGCAGCAGCCTACACAAAGGAATGCCAGGATAGAAGCCGAGGCAGGTGCAGAGAAGTCTGCACCAGGGCAAGTAAATCCAACAGCAGCCCAACAGAAGAGCCAGGGGAAAAGCAGGGGTGGGGATTGAGGGCTGGCAACCTATCCCACCCAAGACCTGATAGAACCAGTAGGGAGGGGAGTTGGTGGGGAGCAGCCACTTTGCAGCCCAGTAGGAGGATCAGGGAGGAGCGAATTGCCTCCTACGCTCAGAGAGAGGCTGGGTATGCCCAGGGAAGGGAAGGGGCTACCTGGATCTTTAAAGGTAAATTCCTGGGAAAGGTCAAGGAGGAGAAGAGGAAAAAAGCTGATGTGTCCTCAGACCAAAAGTCTCTTTAAGTTTTACAAACCACTCTCCCCACAGAACTAAAAATTGAAGCATAATGTAATTTGTGCCACAAGTGAGAATTTAGGTATCGCTCTTTAAACTGATTTCAGATGGAAGGGGGGGGGAAATGTTAAATGTGTTGAGTTTTTAAACATCTCACATGAATTCTGATGAATTAACCATTTAATGGACCAGCATATCTTATTCTTCCTGTCTTACTTCAAAAATGTGTCCTGACACCAATCATAGTGTCAGTACAGAAGTATTGAGAGGATCAGTGTAATCAGTGGTATGGATTAGATAAACTGTTGTGTGAACTACATATATGAAAGAGCAGCAACATCTGCACGTAAAATATTTTCCATCTTGATAAAATATGGTTTTATGACTCAGTCCCCAAATATCATGATGGTTTTGTTCTGTAATAATGAGATGGTTTATTGCCTGAATGGTCTTCTCTATGTTATTTTTATATCTTAATCCATAGATGCTGATACCTGTTCCAAAAGAGTTGGTGACCAAAAAGTAAATATTTTGAGGAAAGATTATACAATTTGTGTTTTTTTTAAAATGTTGCTATTTTGTTTGGAGATTTCTTTATGAATCAACAGATATATGAAAATATTCTTGCTTTAGATGGTTATGTTTTAATATAAGTATTTTTTCTGCTAAAACCAAGATGAATAGCCAAAAACACTTGCACTGCTATTTTATGAAAATCTCTCTCTCTATCTCTCCCTCTCCCTCTCCCTCTCTCTCTCTCTCATACGTGTGTGCAACAGAACTGCATATATAGCTGCAGAGTGCTTTTAGTATGAACAGTGATTAACTAATGAAAATGTGTCATTTTTTCATAATCCTTTTTTTTAAAAAAAAAAATTGCAAATAGTACCACTGACCTCATAGCATCTCTACATCATTGTAAATTGTTGCATGGTATCTTTTGAAATTCAGTGTTTGAGAAGAAAGTGACATGAAAATTTGCCTTGGTAACAGGTACATAGCCCTTTTATCTTTGGATATATTAATTATTAATAGTGGGGTTATTGATGCAAGCACCTAACATTTATCTGAATTAATAACAGTTCTTCTGCATCAGTGGTTTTCAATAATTTGCTAAATGGATCATGGAATTGTTCCTTAAACCCAATAAGGAAAATCATCTAATATGTGAATAATCTTCCAAAGTCTTGTTAAATATTTACCCATCAGCACCAACTTGGCAATTGACTTAAAGGGTTCTCTTGATTCACCGATAGGTCCTGAGAGAGAAAAATATAATCACTTTGGAGTAGAAAGATGCTTGAGTTTGTTTAAATGCAGTATTATTTCTGTTGACAAAGAATAATTCTGTGGACTCAGGTCTGCAGAGAACTAATGATACTGTAAGAAGTGTGGAAGACAAAGTTGGCTTAGAGGTATTAACCTTTTATACTCTGCATTCTGTATGTATGAATAAAGTTTATCTGCTTTTTAGACTTATGTATGTAGCAGATTGTATTTTTTATAAATGTCTGTATTTATTTCTTGTATTGAAATTGTTGTTGACATATATTCATCCTAAAGTGATAAATCTGGTTGGAATTTTGATTCTGGTGCCCTTCCAGTTTTCTCTGCATCTTATTTTCAAATTTGTATTGCAACACATGAAAAATTTCACAGTAGCGGTGCAACCCCACCTAAAATGTTGTTGAACATCATTGTATTCATAGAAAGCTGAATTTCAATGGCCAAAATACTATGTGCAGGAAGAGTGGAAAGGATTGATTTATCAAACAGTTGGGGACAAAACATCTGTATAGCAAGATCCATAAATGTGTGTCTTCTGTCTCACAACCAGATATATAAAAGGGAATGGAATCCCAGTCAACAGACTAAATAGTCACAAGTGGACAAACAGGATTGATTTTACAATGATAAGAACATGCTCAGATAGGGTGACATTTTGTCAGTGTTTTGAAAAGCCTTTCACATATCTGTCATTTAATTGAACTGCCAAAAAATCGAATTTGCCTCAGTGAACATTTACCATGCATTTTAATCATTTTTACTTTTAATATTTATGTTTACTATTTACAGAATGTCCAAGAAAATGAAAACCACTAAAGTGTTGTCTAGCCACCTTGTGTACTAATACCCTCATTCTGTGTCCCACTGCACTAATGCAATGGAATAGCTCATCCCTTAGTCTTTGATCTTGGCTTAGATTGGACCTCTGCCATTGGATGACCTTGGGCAAATGATTCCAAATCTAACATATCTCCTAATGTTGTTGTAGGCCACAGTGGGTTAATCCCAGAGTATCCTCATTCCCTAGCATTGGTGGAATATTATAGTAATAAAATAAATGGATTATCTTACAATAAAGCAAGGGATTTTCAACATCTTTTACAGGCAAATGAGGTAGAACTGGGCAGTTCTGTTCTACTTGATTTACATAGCATGCCACTATATTTGGTGTATTGAAAGGTTCTGTTCAGACTATGGCAATTAAAGTGATAATATTAGGGATGGGCATGAACCCCCGAACGAACCCCCAAACGATGAGCATGAACCAAGCCAGTTCATGGTTCACGATCCAGGAGTTTGGGAGAATGTGTCTCCCACAATCCACCCACAAACCTCCATGTTTTTCATGAAAGTTTGTGAGGTTCATGGGAGACACGTTCTTGGGCTCTGAAGGCATTTAAATGCCTTCAGAGCTTACTTCCAGGTCTGGCAGGCCACCCAGAAGTGAGCCCCGAAGGCTTTTAAATGTTTTCAGAGCCCACCTCTGGGTTGGTCAGCCTGACTGAGCTCCAAGAGTGGGCTCTGAAGGTTTTTATAGACTTTATATGCCCTTATATAGGCAGGCCCACTTCCAGATACAGTTTGGGTGGGAGCTGAAATGTGTGGAAGTGCGGGTTTTCTTTTAAGCCAGTAATTTTCATGTTTTCTACCTTCAGTCAATCTTTTTCAAGTAAATATCTGCCAAGGTACCCTTGCATATCAGCCATGGAACCCATTGTGTCTGTCAAAAGATTCTGGGGAATATCATTGGTCATGCATTTCATTTAATTCAAGGCACTTAGCCTGCTGGCCCTGACCATCACACTACAAAAACAGAGAATGCTAGAGAGTAATCTCACCTGACACTTATGTGTAGCAAGGTAGTAGAGGGGAAGATCCATAATAGTAGGGAAGTTATATTTCAGATTGTCTGCCCTTATTGAAGGACAAACTACATGAGATTTTTAATGAGTCACGTCTCAGTTTTCTTCTTATTTCCCTCCTTTGCAGCTGCATGTCTGTGTAATACTGCACGTACAGCTCCAAAGAGAGGCAAATAACTCCCTGGGAGCCATTTTCAACTCCAGAAAATGGTGCAGGAGGAAGGCCCTTATACCTCCACACCACCGTCCCAAGGCAAATAAGACTCCCACAGAGTTTTAAATGGGTATTCTGTACTGTTTGCCTGCAGGGAAACAAAATTGGGTCCAGGAAATCAGGACCCAACTTGTTTTAAAAGTCTTGTGTACTTGGCTCTGAGCTTCCATTGTAAGATGGATGCCCTGGAAGCTTCTGTAGGGTTGCCAGACCCCCTGGTGGAGGCAGGGGTCCCCCACCAACACACCCTGCTGCCCAGCCACTAATCAGCTGGTCGGTAGGGGGACTTACCTGGAGAAAGGCCCAGGCCTTGTCACCAGTGTTGCACAGGAAGTGACAGCATACCAGTGCCATCCAGGTGATGCTCTGATATTTGAGCAAAAATTCTATGGCAGAAGCCAATTTTACTATAGAGTTTTTGCCCAAATACCAGAGCATCTCTTGGATGTTGCAGTGTGATGATGTCACTTCCTCTGTGATGTCGGCGATGAGGCCTGGGCCTTTCTGTTTCTCAAAGTAAGCCCCCCCCTCATCCCTCACTGGTTGCCAGGAGGTACTTGGCAACCCTAAGCCTCTGAGAAGCTCCAAGGTTTATGGGCACACAATAATTATGCTCCATTAAAATATAAAGTTGTGGAGTTGATTTCAGCAGGTGAAGGACTACCCTAGATTAAAAAATAAATGATATTAGAACTATTAGAAACTATGAAAGCAGGCTGCTTTTGTGCTGATAATTTCAGCATGATATCTGAAATGTTTATAAGATCATGTGCAAGTGTAAGGAAGGCTGAATTAAGAACTACTGCATTTTATCTCGTAATAAAAGGACATTCGGTAGAATTTATTAGGGACAACAAAATTATTTTCGTACACAGTGCCCAAATACCCTGTAGAAAATATCATAGGTTGTTTAGGAGGTTATAGCACTAATGGCTTTAAAGATAAAGTAAATACTTTTGTGGGAGAACTGTTCCATTGGCACCTGTTCTTTCCTTGTAAGATCAGATTTCATGTACAGAATGGCCCAATCCATTAAACCATGTTTTTGGTAATGCAGGACATGCATGTTTTGTAACATTCTTAGGACTTAATTTTCCATAAACCTCAGTGATCTAGATGAACACACGTTTTTAAAGACCTATATTGTTTCAGCTCTTGTTTATCTTTTCTTTGTCTTTTAGAGACAGGCAACAAGAAGCTAAAAAGCACGATCCAGAGAAGCACAGAAACAGGTATGGCAGCAGAAATGAGAAGTCGTATGGTTCGGCAGCCAAGTCGGGAGTCAACTGATGGCAGCATCAACAGTTACAGCTCTGAGGGAAAGTAAGTTGAGGCCTCATGTAATCAGGACCCATCCATCTCTGAGGTGTTTTTAGCAGCCTAAAATGATGGTTATAAAGCAGCCCTCAAACTAGAAGCCGGTAGTAAAAACAATGTTTAAAGACCAATACCTTATTTAAAAGCCTGGGTAAAAAGAAATGTTTTGGCCTGGCACCTGAAAGCAAGTAAGTTACCTGCCAGATGAGTCGCAAAGGGGAAGGGCATTCCACAGGTGAGCTGCCAACACTGATAAATCCATTCAAGGCTGCTCGGGCTGGGTTGGTGTTGTCCTTACCCTCTTTCATTACCTGGAAGGCAAAAGACAGGATTGGCAGTGGCCAGGGCCGGCTCACCCGCTAGGCGAACTAGGCATTCGCCTATAGCGCTGGGCCGCGGATGGGGCGGCAGGCACTGGATGGGGCGCCGATCTCCCCCCCACCGTGAAGAGCTGCTTTGAGCCGCCGCAGCCAGTCCCCGCTCCCACCCGCCACCCAGCCCACCCCGCACCTGGCCTTCGCCCTCAGTCTGCTTCAGACTCTACTCTCTGGGTCATGGTGCTGCTGCTGCTCCAGGTGCCTGTTGGCGGGAATGGTGGCTGGCTGTCTCTGGGGCTCCAGGCGCACCCTGACGGCCTTCCCGCCCTTCCAAGAAGGGAGCCAGCCAGCCCACACACCCCATCCCCCCCCCGTTGAGGTGACCACTCGGAAGCACTGCAGCTCTGAGGCCTCCACTCTGCCTCCCGTGCCTGCCCGCCTTCTTCCTCCCTTCCCTCCCTCCTGCGCCGCAGTCGGTGCCCCGGGGGGGGCTCAGAGCTGACCTCTCACCTGGCCTCAAAGAGGCCGCCCAAGCAGCAGCAGCCTTTCCCCAGATTGCACCAGCTGGGTGGAGGGGGGCGGGTGGGTGCTCCTGGCTGTGCGCGGTGGCGGCAATGGGGCTGGGCGGCTGGAGCGGCGGCAGCAGGGCGCACAGGATGGGCGGCTGCCTTTTGCCACTGCTGCTCGCCCCGATGGTGGTGCTGCTGCTGGGCGCCGCAGGTAAGAAGACGGGATCGGGATGGGGCTGGCTGCCAGCATCCCCTCCACCACCCTCCCTCCCTCCACACCGGGCGCCCCGTCGGCTCGGGCTCTGCAGCACTGCCCAGGGGCAGAAGGAGGAGACACGGTGGGTGCTTCGCCGGCAAGGCCCAGGGAGTGGGTGGAAAAGCCGAACTCCACCCCGAGGCACTGCACGCCAGCTGGGAGGTCTCCAGGCCCCACCGGGGGGTTGGCATCTGCGCTTGCCTAGAGCGCAGGAACACCTTGGGCCGGGCCTGGCGGTGACTGTTAATTTCTAGCCTATGGAAAAAAGGCTTAAGGAGGCCATAAAAAGGTTGTCCGCTTCCTCCCAGGCAAGCAGCTGTCTGTGTGAAATGTTGTGGGAGGGTGATGAAGCTTGGTAATGCTCAACAATGTTCAGGTGCAGCCAAGCATAAGTGAAGCCAGCAAAGTCATTGGCCAATTGGGAGCCAGGGGGAAGCTGCCCAACTGTTAGTAACTGTTGACTGCCTGGCTCACCCTGCCTTTAAATATACTAATAGCTTATGATTTAGATCTGCCATTTAATTAAGCTAGTTAAACCTAAATATGGTTGTCTTGTGTCTTCACTTGCGGCAAGGTGCTGGGGACAAAAGCCTGTCTCTAGTTGTCACCTGCCTTGGTTCTGGAGAGATAAGGCATGAGGAGCATGGCTTGTGAGTAGGATCTTAAATCAGCAGGCTGCAGATTCACCAGAGGACACCAAGTAATCAGAAATTGAACAAGTCCTGCTTTTATTTTCACCACTGCAGCATGAGTGCCTTAACCCTGAGGCAGGAGCAACATCAGATGAAGGCAAAGAATGGAATGGAAAGGAGGGCCAAAGTAGGAAAGGGAGGACCCAGAATCTCTGCCTTCTAATTAGGTTTGCCAGCAGGCCTGGAGAAAAATCTCCTGTGCCATTTAATAGAGGTTTCATGTGTGAAAACAAGCTTTTCATGGCATGGAGGCCATAAATCTGATTCACAATAATTCAAGGGCTGTTATATAAACAAAATGGTTTCCTATCAAGTGTGTTGAGGGATGCCAAAATATTCAGCATTGGGGAGATATATGGGTGATTACTGACATGACTGTTTATGTGGAAACACTTCTTTTCATTTTGCAGAAGAACCTCACTCAGTTGTTTAATCCAGTGCCCTATGAAAATATAAAGCAGATTAAATGAAATTAAGTGCAGAAATTAGCTGCAACTCTCCAGCTCCTAACATATATGATTTGGTCAATGGTCAGCAAGAACATATCCACTGCTGCTACGCCTAGGCTTCACTATAAACGTGGCACTCAACACATGTCATGTTTTATGAGGAAGAGGTTGTGCCAAACAAGAAATACTCCATGCTTTGCAGATATCTACAGCATATGTTATATACGGGACACCGTAAAAGCTTTACCGTGTCCCCTAATATACCATACTTGGCAGCTGTACATTTTTCAAGGCTACACAGAGAAGCTAAGCTAAGCAGATCATAACATGTTGCTAAGGGCTGTTTCTGTTTTTCTCTGTGTTTTCTGTACTACAGCCTAATATTTCCAGGAGTTCGACTGGGTGCTGACAGTCAGTTCAGTGATTTCCTTGATGGCCTTGGACCTGCCCAGCTAGTAGGTCGACAGACCTTAGCGACTCCTGCCATGGGTAAGAGTAGATCTGTTTTCATTCAGAAGGCATATGAAAACCCAAACACTGTTTTATGATGCTGTGCTTTCATGGGCTGTATTTGCTCAGACCTTCTGTTTCCCTGCCCTATTTAATAATATTGATGATCTTTAATCTCAGTTGATTAATATCCCATTTGTTCATTGTATTTAGGTAGACATTTTTATGCACAATGATAAAAGGAACACATATAATGAGCAGACAGTTAAGAGAAAATACTTTGCTTTTAAATGTTTTCCATGTTTCTCATTTATCCTGGTATCACTCCCTTCATTATCTAGTGATGACTGCAGTTAGGTCAAAGAGAAATAGCTCCATTTTCTATGGAACACTGAACCTGAAAATATTTCTGTAGAAGGCAAGGATTGTGATGTTTACCTAGGTATGCTATCGTGTTCTTTTTTCAGTTCCATTAAGCCTAGTGGGATGATCTGTTCGAACTTAGTGGGAGAATGTTTTTGAAGTTTTGATCCAGGAGTATGAGCTAATTGCATAATGAAACATCAGTTGCTTCATTCAGTTCTCTTTATGACTCTGTCTCAGTTTCTTCTGTTCCTTATGAGCCAAATGTTTTTCTTCTCAGTGATTTATCTTACTCTTCTTTAGAGCTCAGCAGTAATCTATCAACAGTTTGATTTTTTATCCTCCCTCATTCATTCACAGAGAGACAAATTGACAGGATTGTTGAATTTGGGAGAACCTAAAAATAAATTCCATCTAAATGATTAGATTTGCAATGCATATAAACCATGTACATATCAAATCACATTTTAACCTGCTGATTTTATTTAGTTAATGCAGTTTTCAACTCAATTAACATATAGTTTAAGCAGAAAAACAGATAAGCAGACTTTTGGACTGATATTTTTTTCAGCAACCTTTAATTTTTAGCAGACTTTCTTAGCTTTGTAAACGAATGCTTTGAAGACTTATTTGGGGGTACATAAATAATTGCTGTATTTGTGGATGGCTTTGCTATAGCACCACTTGCTGATGCATGTAAATTAGAACAAAAACTAGGGATGGGCATGAACTGGCTCACAAATCTAAATTCGTGACAAACTGGACCCGGTTCATGGTTTGCATACTGATTTCATTCCATCCTGCCACCACAAACCTCCCACAACCTTCCCTACTTGCCATAGATAGAGGGATGAGAAATGCTGTTTCATAGCCTCCATCGTTATAGTATATTTTAAGAGTGACAGGCAGGTAACCATGTTAGTCTCAAGCAGCAGATCAAAGTTTGAGTCCAGTGGCACCTTTAAGACCAACAAAGTTTTATTTGTGTGCATGAACACTTCAGGTACCAGGTTTTTTTACAATTAGTGATCATATCAAAATACTACTGACTGTGTGAAGTTGTGGTATGTATGTTTAATGGTGATTGAAATATCTAATGTTTTAAAAATTAATAAAGGCACCTGTTAATATGTTGAAACACAAGCACAAAAAGTTTCCATAGAAATGGAAGATGGTATATTCCTTACCAGGCCCATGGCCATAGGGGGGGCATTTGGGGGCCAATGCCTTATTATGGGTGAGCTATGGCCCAAAGAGAATTTTTTTAAAGTTAAAACGTTAAAAATATATATAAAATATTGTAAAATGTAAGATGCATGTGGGGGTTTTAAATGACCTCAAGCACTGTCAGGGAAGCTTCGGTCTAATATGCTAATGAGTTCCTGCTGTTGGGTGTGACCTATTATGCTAATGAGTTCCTGCTGGGCTTTTTCTACAAAAAGAGTCCTGTCGGGGAGGGATTTAAATTCCTCCCGCTCTCTCCCTGGCCCTTCCTGGCTTGCCCGCCGAGGCAGGTGAGCCAGGAGAGGGCGGGGGGGAGGGCTCCAGAAGCAGGCCAGCTGGGGAAGCAAAAAAGGGGGAAAGGCATCTTCAGAAGCCTCCCCTTTCTTGTGGTACAGCAATAGAGATGTATGATGTGTGGTTGGACATGAAACTATCAGTGTCTTAAATGCTATATGTAGAAACTTGGAATTTGTAAGTATGTGTCGTATGTAACACTTATTTTCCTTTTCTCTATAAAAACAATTAAAAAAAATTAAAAAAAAAAGAAAAAAGAAGAAGCCTCCCCTTTCCTCTCCCAGCCGGCCTGCCAAGGCGGACTGGGGGGGAAGCAAAGAGTGAAGGGGGTTAAAGTTTAAACCCCTTCTCTCTGGAGTCGCGCCTCTTTCCATTGTATTCTATGGCCCCATAGAATATAATGGAATGATGACTTTAGAGAGAAGAGGTTTAAACTTTAAACCCCTTCTCTTTTCGCTTCCCCCCCCCCAGCCCACCTTGTAATTTAAATTTAATTTAATTTATTTTTAATTTCCCAGGCGGGCTGGGAAAGGGAAGGGGAGGCTTTTGTAGATGTCTCCCCCCTTTTTGCTTCCCCTTCTGACATCATTTCCTGTGGTGTCAGGGGGCGTGGCATATGCTAATGAGTTATTATGCTAATAGCCTATTGGATATGCTAATGAGCTCCTGCAGCTCTTTTTCTACAAAATGACCCCTGAAATCAACAATCTCTTTATCATCATCTCTGCCTTGTAGCTTTTAGGAGTGACTACTGTAAATGGGGCTGCCTTTGAACATGATTCAGAAACTTAAACTAATTCACAAAGGCAGTTTCCTATTCAACACATTCTGCAGAAATCCCATTAGCTTCTAAATACAATCTAGAGTGCTGATTTTAGCCTATAAATCCCTTTACTTATGGTTTCTGCATATGTGAAGCACATCTCCAAAACAAAAAAAAGCCTCTCACATTGAGGTCAGCTGGAGAAGCCTTGTCCCCGAATCTCTGCCATTCAAAGCTAAACTGTGAGGGGAACACGGGAGAGCCTTTTCTGTTACAGACCTTAATGAAGTTATAACTCCATCAACTTCTGAGAACTGCCAAAATTGTATTCTAAAGGCTTCTAGAAAAAAAAAACCCACTGTTTAAAAAAGAAAAACTGTTAAGACTGATTTTTTTCTAATGGCTCTGGTAATACAATTTTATTCCTCATGTCAGAAACATTATTATCATTTTATCTGTGTCGTGATACTGCTATGGCTACTTTTGTAAACTGCTTGGGTCAGATTTTAAATAAATTACTAAATACTGCAAGTTCAGGGGGGAAATGCATATTTCTGTGCATAATTGCAGATCCATTGTTGTGCTGTTCACTAATATCCCTCTTTTTCAGGTGACATTCAGATTGGAATGGTGGATAAGAAAGGCCAGTTAGAAGTAGAAGTCATTAGAGCTCGAGGCCTCACACAGAAGTCTGGTTCAAAATCTACCCCAGGTAAGAACACCTCCACACAATAGGATCATGCAAAATGTATGGTTTCTGTACCTCCTTCTCAGCACTGTAATAATGAATGAACCATGAATCACTGTACATTCCTTTCTTTGTGGGTGGGCATCATTGAAATCATTGAAGGTGTGTCTGCTCCTTCATCTCTTCTGCTACCAGTTTTCTATTATTATTATTATTATTATTATTACTACTACTACTACTACTACTACTACTACTACTACTACATTTTACACTACCTTTCCACCCAGTCAGGGTCCACATCACAGAGAACATATAAACATTAAACCATTTAAACAATTAAAATACAGTTAAAATATAAAATTCAATTAAAAATACATAAACAAAGAACACTAGAATGAGGGCCAAAAACCATTACTGCAGGTTGTTGTCGGCCAGTCAAAACAAAAACAAGTCTTCACCTGCTGGCAAAAGACATCAATAGAGGGAGACAGACAAATCTCCCTGGGGAGGGAGTTCCAAATTTTGGTGCTGTGACAGAGAAGCCCCTTTCTCACGTGAGTACCTGTCTACCGTCAGATGACAGGGGCAACCAAAGCGGGTCTCCAAGGATGATCAGAGTGAGCAAGTAGATTCATATGGGAGAAGGCAGTCCTTACGGTATGTTGGTGCCGGGTGATACAGGCCTTTAAAGGTCAATACTAGCACCTTAATTGAATCCAGAAGCAAATTGGAAGCCAGTATAGGTGGGAAAAAACTGGAGTGATATGGTCCCTATGACCCACTCCAGTCAACGCTCTGGCTGCAGCATTTTGTACCAACTCTAGCTTCTGGACAGTCTTCAAGGGCAGCCCCACATACAGTGCATTTCAGTAGTCTAGATATTTTCAGGGCATGCACCACAGTGGCAAAATCTTTTCTGTTCAGGAAGGGCCACAGCTGGCTCACCAGCTGAAGTTGCTCAAAGGCAGCCCTGGGCACCATTGCCACCTGTTTATCCACCATGAGGCCTGGATACAGGAGCACCCCCAAACTATGAACATGCTCATTTAAGGGGAGTACAACCCCATCCAGAACAGAGGATAATGCATTTCTCAGGTCAGATCTGTTATTATTTTGACGATTCATCTGGATTCAACTCAAATTTTGCCTCCCAGTCTCTCTGAAATGATGTAATAATGTTTTAAATATGCAAAACCATTGCTGTCCTTACCAATAGCTGTCAATAGATATATTGTATTGATTATTAATCTCCACTTCCCATTTATTTATTTATTTATTTGTTTACACAATTTATATTTTTCCTTTCTGCTCTCATCAGGATCACCAAGGCACCTAACAAATTAAAAACATACATAATAAAAATATGTTTTTAAAAGTATTAAAACAAAACAAAAACATATAATTAAAATAATTTAAACCAAGCTGAAATACAAAATATAAAAACAACAATTAAAAACAAAGCAGGAAGGAGGGATCATTGAGGAAATACCATAAGAAGAAAAACATCTGGCAACGGAAACAGGCAAGTCTTGTTGGGGAGACAGTGACTGAGTTTTGGTGCCACAACCAAGGTGGTCCTCTCCTCAACAGCCACCCACCTAATCTTAAAGGGCACCCAAAGCAGGGCCTAGTGGTCAGGTAGATTCATAATAGAGTAAGCAGTCCTTCAGGTATGCTGGTCCCATGCATATAGGCCTTTAAAGGGCAATTCCAGCACCCTGAATTTTGCTCAGAAACAGATTGGGACCCTGTGTAGATGGGCCAGGACTGGAGCAATATGGTTCCTACAACCCACTCCAGTCAATATCCTGGCTGCAGCATTGTGCACCAGTTGAAATTTCTGAACATTTTTCAAGGGCAACCCCATGTAAAGTGCACCATAGTAATCTAATCTAGATGTACCCAGTGTATGCACCATAGTGGCCAGATCTTTTCTGCTCAGGGAAGGCCACACTGGTTCCCTGGGAGAAATTATCAAATGTGTCCCTTTCTTCAGGGACATTCCCAGTGGGACTAAAAGAGGCAGTGGTTCATCCACGCTTGAAGAAATCAACATTGAATTCTGTGGTCCCAGCCAACTACTGCCCAGTTTCAAATCTCCTGTTTCTGGGTAAGGTAGTTGAGAGAGCAGCATCTGAACAACTCCAGGCTTTCCTGGATTACACATCCATCCTTAACCTATTCCAGTTTCTGTCCTGGCCATGGGATGGAGACAGTGCTAGTTGCCCTCACAGATGACCTCCAGAGACACCTGGACACCTAGGGCTTTTTCTGCCCTGGCCCCAGCCTAGTGGAACATGCTCCCATCAGGACTCTGTGGGACATGCTACCATTCCAAAGGGCCTGTAAAACAGAGCGGTTTCTCCATGCCTTTGGCTGAGGTGGCGGACCTCCAATAAAAACTGGCCTCCCCTGCTGAAGTTGAAGCTTGCCACCTCTATGTGACCCAGATTAAGACGATCTCAGAGACCCAATGGTGCCAGGTTGGAAACTGTGTACAGAGATAAATAGTGTGTCCTGTCTTAATCTATGTTATTTTAAACTGTTTTTAATGATTCTGTAATATTGTATTTTTGTATTTTAGAACTTATTGAGCCCGTTTGTGGGGAAAGCAGAATATAAATTGGAATAAATAAATAAAATAAATAAAAGGCACTCCTGGCCATAGTTGCCACCTGCTTATCTAGCAGCAGGCCTGGGTCCATGAACACCCCCATGTTTCTTCAAGAGGAGTGCAACCCTGGGATCAACTGGGACCATGAGATTGAGCTGATTGTCATCCACAAATCGGTGACAACCCAGCCTAAATTTCTGGACAACCTCACTTAGCTGTTCCATGTAGTTGTTAAAAAGGATGAGGGCTAAATTGGAGCCTGCGGGACTCCACAGGCTGAAGGACAAGGGGGTGAACAGCAATCCCCTAGCACCAACGTCTAAAACCTATCCTTCATTTAGGACTACAAATACTTCAAAACAGTGCCTCCCCAGCCTGGAAAGGTGATACAGAAGGATGCCACATTCAATGGTAGCAAAAGCTGCTGAGAGATGCAAAAGAATCAATGGAGTTGCTGTCCCTCTGTCCAACTCCCAGTGCAGTCATCCACCTGGGTGACCAAAGCTGTTTCAGTCCCCAAACCCCAGACCCAACACCAGATTGGAAGGGATCCAAACAATCCACTTCATACAGGAATATTTGAAACTGCCCAGCCACAGCCAATTCAATCACATTGCTCAAGAATGGAATGTTTGAGACTAATTTATAGTTATTGAGATCACCTGGGTCCAAGGTAGGCTTCTTTAATAGTGCATTCTAGGAGTGTACAAAAAAAAAAGGAAGGGGTGGGTGGGTTTGGGTGTATTGGACCTGAAAAAATATTGGTATTTCCTGATATTCCTGAATCCCAATACTGGTATGGTATTCAGATTCGGGGGTTTGGGGTAATCCTTAATTTTTTCAGCTCCATTATACCCTATAGTGGTCCCCATAGAGTACAATAGTCATTGTAGAGTATAATGGGGAATTCAGCCAGGGGTATCTGGGAGTCTGGGGGGCTGTTTTTTGAGGCTGTTTTTCTCTATCCTCAAGAGAGCCCCAAAGAAGGTGCCCTCTCATCCATTGTTTCCAATGGCGGGAAGGCATTTAACAGGATCATGGTCTCTTTAAACACCTTCTGCAAGTTGTGAGTTAACTCCAAAGGCATTTAAAGGGCTTTCAGTCCCTTTAAACATGTTCTTCAAGCTGTGAGTTAACTCCAAAGGCAAAGGTGTTTAAAGGGATTAAGGTAAAGGTAAAGGTTCCCTTGCTCGAAAGCTAGTCGAGTCCGACTCTAGGGTTGCGGTCCTCATCTCCGTTTCAAAGCCGAAGAGCCAGCACTGTCCGAAGACGTTTCTGTGGTCATGTGGCCAGCATGACTAAACACCAAGGCACATGGAATGCTGTTACCTTCCCACCAAAGTGGTACCTATTTATCTACTTGCAATTTCTTGCTTTCGAACTGCTAGGTTGGCAGGAGCTGGAACTAGAGACGTGAAGTCACTCCGTCATGCGGCAACTTGGGTCTTGAACTGCTGAACTACTGACCTTCCACAGCCTGCAGTTCAGCGTCTTAACCACTTGAGCCACCGCAGCTCCTATTAAAGGGATTACAAACCCTGTAAATGCCCTTTAACTATGGCTATCCAGCATTCCTGAATAATCCCAAATATTTTTGGGATTAGTCATGAACAGCTATATTGGATAGCCAAAAATAGACTCTTATTTGTATTTGGCTGAGAAAATACCCAAAAAATCCTGATAAGGTATTTTTCAGGTATTTTTTCAGCTCGGATGTAGCCGAATGCACATTCCTAGTGCATGCACCATAGTCTGTTTCAAAACTGGGGCAACCACTTCCTCTCAAGGAGGCATTAACAACTTCTTGGACCCTGTCAGTCAACCCTCCTTCCTGAAAGATTTAAATAACCAAGAAGGACTAGAGACTTTCAAGCAGGCTTTTGTATTTACACGTTGTGTCATATTTCAATTTTGTTCTTTATATAATTAAAAAATAATCTATATGAAAATCCTATTCAGATGCTCTCTGTGATATGGCACTGCGGATAGCATCCTATGGTTGCATTAATGGATTGCACTCATAGTGGTAGATCTTTCCTTGCCTTCCCCTACTCACAGCAGTCCTATATTACTCCCAAAAAGGTATGACCAGAGGGATGGGACTGCATGAGCAAAAAGCTACCAGTCATGGAGGAGAGACTGCAGCAATTCTTTTGAATTGCTAGCTATGGAAGGGGGAGAAACATGCAGATCTGTCCTCACAGAGGAGGGAGAGCTTGCACCTGAATAAGCCTTGGTCTTAAAGGTGCCACTGGACTCTTTTGAATTGCTAGCTATTGGGGGGGGCATGCAGTTCTGCCCTCACAGAGGAGGGAGAGCTTTTACCTAAATAAGCCTTGGTCTTAAAGGTGCCTCTGGACTCTTTTGGATTGCTAGCTATGGGGGGGGGGACATGCAGATCTGCCCTCACCGAGAAAGTTCTGCAGTACCGTATGCCTCACCCAAGAGAAAATGATCCTGTAGAAACCAGAAGCGAGAAGGCATTTGGCAACTTTGGAAACCAAGTTGCATGACAGAGTAGATACAAGTCCCATTTATAATAAGCAATACCAGAATCTTGAAGCTTGCCTGTAATCTTGATTGTGGTTTCAGCACTCCATCACCCCGGGTCAGGAGCAGTTTGGATCCACAGTTGCAGTCCCAGACAGTTTCTTTGCTGGTGGCAATCTGTTTTAGCTTAAGGTGTGGGGGGGTTGCGCTTAGCTTAGCATGGGCCTGGAAAACTGGGGGAGAGGATGGCAGGGGGGTTTCCCAGGCCTGGAAAGGCGGGGGGAACTGCAACTTACCTTCCTTCTTCTTTCTCCTCGGCTCGACTGAGGGGAGGGCTGCTGAGAGCAGGGGCAGGGCTTGCTACATGTGCCCACCCCCTGGCTTCCTCACTACCGGAGCTTTGCTCTGGTGAGCTCCGGCAGCAAATGACCATAGAATCCAAGAGGCTAAGGAAAACACCTCCCACTAGGGTGCTTTTTGAGGATATTAAAACCATTAATTCACATATCACTATAATGGTATACTAGTGCATCAATTACCAGCATACACAAAACGTCAGGAAAAGCCTCCCCAATGAGGAGGGAATGGCTGCTGTGGGGACTGAGGCAGCAAAAATGCAGGGAAATCCTGTTATCTGGAAGTGCCATTGCCACTATGCTACATCAGCAGCTGCAATAGCACATGGGCTGCCATAAGAAAACATTGTCACATGGAAAAGTGACAGGAGCTCAAAACCTTATACGCAGAACCACAATCATAATGAAAACAACTATTTTCAAATGCATCATGTATGTTCTGCAGAAAATTCTACTGTTTACATTTACATACCACCCATTCATATCATCATGCAAATAAAACAAGTTGAGATTGTCAAATGCATGGAGCTTTGTGAAAATATGGCAGATAGTTTTATGACAGATGCTAACTATTTAAACACATAATTTTGGTAGTTTTTGGTTCTCGGTTTTTCTCTATAATTTATAGATACCTTGAAAAGAAAGGTCTCAATAACTTAGCCCTTAAGACTTAAAAAAGACCTTACATTTTACAGCTCCGTATGTCAAAGTGTATCTGTTGGAAAATGGGGCTTGCGTAGCGAAGAAAAAAACAAGGATTGCGAGGAAAACCCTTGATCCTTTATACCAACAGACTTTAATTTTTGATGAAAGTCCGCATGGTAAAGTCCTTCAGGTCAGTAATTATTTCATATTGTTTCAGCCTCTGATTCAGCCAGTATAAGGACTGCTAAAGTATAGGAATATAACTAATCCTAATCATACCTATTTATATTAAAAAATATTAGTGTATTTCTTCAGCCAGTTGGCTTAGCAACAACCAGGGCTAGATTCTATCAAATTTGGTATAGTACTCTCTATCAAGAAACAGGGAATTTAAGATTACACTAATTTGGTGCACTGGAAATTTATCATCGTATATCTAGTTCTGAACCAGGCCATAGAGTGTGGATCAATAAATCCACAAAATGGACCTAGGGCAGATGGGAGGGGGGTTTCTCTACAGACCTGAAGGAAGTCCCAAAATCTGAAATCTAAAAAAAAATAAAAAAAATTTGCTGTCAAGTTGCAGCTGCTTTATGATAATCTCATAGGGTTTTCAAGGCAAGAGACATTCAGAGGTAGTTTGCCATTGTGTGCCTCTGCGTAGTTACCCTGGTATTCTTTGGTGGTCTCCCATTCAAATACTGACCAGAGCCAACCCTGCTTAGCTTCTGAGATCTAATGAGATCAGGCTAGCCTGGGCTACTAAGGTCAGGGTTTGGGGGATTAAAACTCCCCCAAATAATAGAAACAACACCTATAGCTTTAAGAAAAGATTGTCCACTGAGCTCTCAGTTTCCATTTTTGGAAGTTGCTAGGCAACCACAACAATTTTACTAAGACTTCCAAACCTGTAAAGAAAAGCACTGGGAAGAAGCAGGATTTTGAAGCCAAAACAGCTCTGGAAAGGGTCCCCTCTTTATCTCCATCATGTTCCTTGATGGAGGAGGACTCTCCAGGTCCAGCAGCCACAGCCTGACTCAGCAGCCATCACACAATTTGATATTGGGAACCTCCACATAACTGTTGCAGCTTGGCCAGACTTTTCCTTTGGAAAGGCTGCCAGAAGGAGGCAAGGAGGAAAAGGTGATGGCTGGTGAAGGAGCAGGTGCTATAGGTAGGTTGGCTTGTGGATAGGATGAAGAGAAGGAAAAGGCCATGGAGATTGCCAGGGGATGGAAAGAAGGAATAGCGAGGGAGGCGAATGCTGGGGAAAATGTTAATCCTCCCACAAGTCCTTGCAGGTCCACTGCTTGTTCTTCCCTATTTATAATACATTAGGATGGAACTAAAATGAGAAGCAGTGTTGGTACTTTGGTTTAAAATGGTTTAAAAAGCAATAAAGAAAGAACCTATTCCAAGGGGGAGATTTATTATTGACATTGAAACCTTCCCAAACAAGGACATAACAACATTTCGATGGTGCCTGCCACACGGCAGGTAAACCACGAGGCAAAGCGCGGCTAAATAGAGCCGCTCCAACGTTGAGACGCTGTGGCGGGATCCCACGGATCCCCTGGCCGCGGCGCCTCTTCTCCCCGGCAAGAGCAGACGCCGGGGAGGACGAGCCCGATGGGAGGGGGAGGCTGCCGAACTGTGCATGCCCGAGCATGCGCAGTATGGCCGGGGGCCGGGATGCGGCGGTGCAAGGACGCGCCACCGATCCCACGGCCGGCTTGGGGCGCTCCAGACGGTTGCAACCACCTAGATTGGTGGTTCGTTTTTGCAGCGGGGTATCGCCATTTGGGCCGGATCAGGGACGGAGACGGCATGCTCCCCAGATGTTGAGGTGGGATCGCGGCCATTTGCTCCGCCCCCGTTCCGTCCGCTCCCGGCCCAAATGGGCTCGTATGAACAGAGCCGACGTAACACTCCAATCTTAAGCGTAGTTCTTCAGGAGCAATTTACAATTCTTTCATGATAATTTACATCTAGTAATAATATTTCTGTGAGGGAAGGCAGCATGGTAAAGCCCTATGTTGACAGATCCCAGAAGCTAAGTAGGGTTGGTACTTGAAAGGAAGACCACTAAGGAAGACTCTGCAGGGGAAGGCAAATGGCAAACCACCTCTGCTTCTCATTTGCCTTGAAAGCCCCTTGCCGGGGTCAGCATAAGTCAGCTGCAACTTGACAGCACTCTACACACATACAAAATAATGTATCTAGTAAAGGCAAAAGAAGAAAAGAGATAGTCAGCCATTGCCTGTTTCTGCGTAGCAACCCTGGACTTCTCAGTGATCTCCCATTTAAGTATGAGCCAGGGCCAACCCTGCTTAGCTTCCAAGAGCTGACAAGATCAGGCTAGCATGGACCATCAAGGTTAGGGTACACATTTGTATATGTTCTACAAAATAACTAAACTCAGTAGTGCTATCCCATGACCTTTCTACTGCTCAGAAGTTGGGAGCTCAGACCAATATATTTGTTGAACACGCTTTGATTCTGTCTCTTCTGTCTTTGCAGGTGATAGTTTGGGGAGACTATGGCCGGATGGATCACAAATGCTTCATGGGAGTTGCACAGATCCTGCTGGAAGAACTTGATTTATCCAGCGTTGTAATAGGCTGGTATAAATTATTTCCACCATCCTCCCTGGTTGATCCAACGTTGACTCCTCTGACTCGCAGGGCTTCCCAGTCATCTCTGGAAAGTTCTACTGGGCCTCCCTGCATTCGATCTTAGTATAAACAAAACAGCAGGTGCTCTCTAAAAAAGCCCTTGTCACCGAGGAGAACAACGGGGGGGGGGAAGCTATTTACAACAATGAGGAGCATTTTTTTTTTGAAAAAGACAATCATTTCAATTTTACCTGTAGTAGTTTATCCAAAAATATGTCTGAGTTTGTTAATAGGTGGCTTCAGTTGACCGAACAAAACAGTATATCAAATACAATCCATCTGGCAAAAAGTCCCTGATGCTTATAACTGTAACGAGGAAGGGACTTTTCGATGAAACTGGAAATGCCCACTGTTCCCTTTTGGGTTTTGTTTTTATTTTTTGTTTTGTTTACAGAGACCACAAACAGTGTTAACTTCCTAGTGTTCCCATACATGTTGCTTCCACTTGTTTTTGCCGTGTTATTCTGCCAGTTTGGTAAAAGTCTTCATGATGCTAACAGAGACCCTTTCTTTCTTTTTCTAAGTCGAACCAAAAAGGGCTGAAGTACATCCCTGTAAGCATCTCCAAAAGTGTTCACTTGCCAGATATGCCATATGGTATGCCAACAATATGTTCATGGCTCCTCAGTTCTGATTCTCCTAACAAGTGTGGAAAGCCAGAATAAATGACCATCATGTAATTTAATGTATTCTTTTTATTAGCGTTTTTCATCATTATTCAATGTAAAAAATTAATATATATTTGCATTGTCCATCATAATTTCTTATGTTTTATGAATATTTTGCATGAGGGAGATTTGCAGCTACAACTAATGCAGGAGACTTGATTTTGGTTTTCACTTGGACATTGGAAAAGATATTTATAATATGATTGTTTTACCAGACCTGAAGAGAAAAGTCATTGTCTTCTTGTATTTAAATGTGCAACTGACTTTCCAAATATTGACCAGGAATGGAGTTGAGCATCTGACACTTTCAGCTGTACCCAGGCTTCTCTGATAACGTGTCACTTTTGACACATTTGTCTGCCCTGGTTAGAGCATGGTATGAGTTGTTCAGTTTTTCACTGGAAATCCCAGTTGAAATAATCTGCACTTACTAATGTTTTTAAATCAGATTTCAGTTTACATTTCTTTGAAACTGATGCAAGCACAAAGCTTGAGTTTTTTTTAACAAAAAGTAGTCTTAAGGGGGGTGGGCGGGCAAGGGTGCAGTAAAAAAACAACTTGCATTTTGTTTCAATTTGGTTCTTTCTTGGCCTTGGAATCACCCTTGTGTTTTTCTGTAAATGTGCTAAAAACTGCAGAATGTGCAGGTGCATTGAGAAGTTATCCCTCCTTTTATGGGCCAATAATTTTGTGATCTCACAAAATAGAGCAGCATGACTTGGAACTGTTCAAAGCTGCATGCACGTTTTGTAAAAAAGAAAAAAAAGGAAAAAGAAACAAGAGATTATTTAATAATGTATGTTCTACATAGGCCAGGTTGTATGTTGCATGTACTTGTACAGTTTGCTCGTAATTACTCTAATGAAGTAAGCAAGAAATCTAAGCCATCCATTTTTTCTTATAGACATTTTGCAGGTTTTAGCCAGGCTGTGTCAGTCAGTCTGGTGCTAAATGTCTATAGATGGACTTTATTTTTTACCCTATGGAAAACGTGATGTAGTACGGACCAAATTCCTTCTAATAAATATTTTGGTGTAGATTCCTACTGTGGGGCTGTAACACATGTAGAAACTGTGTACACAATTAGGTTTTCCTTCATAGACATAACTGCCTGCACCAAGTGAACTATTTATTAACTATTACAATTATCATTTAACATTGCCAGAACTATTCTGCCCATGTTTCCCTGGGGCATAGATTGATTACTGCTCGACCTGCTGAGCAGGAAGAACTGAAACACTGGTGCACTACGAGATTCTGTTCTGTCTTTTAGTGGCCAAAAATGAACTAATTATAATTCGGTAGTACCATTCTATTTTGACCACTTGTCTTAACATTCCCCTGTGCTTTTAAATGAAACTTCCAACTCATGTTCTGTAGACATGTTTAATAAAATTTCCTTTTCATGTTCAGCGTAGTTTGTGGTTTTGTGTGAAAGTGGTCTATGCAGAACTGAAGGAGACCTGTCTCAATGCAGGATTGCCCAGGAATCTCATCCAAGTGAAAATGAAACACTCGGAAGGCCATGCAGATTCTCTACAAGCTGATTGCATAATGGGGTTTTCCACTGTCATCTATACGGCATAGAAGTGCCTAGATCATCCTGACTGTGCACCATCTTCTTTTGTCTTGCTTCTTTCCATTTCACTCTTCACCATTTCCTTCCTAGATGTAGGATTCTTGTTCACTTTCCCCTTTTGCTACTTCTCTTTGCCTGCTTTTGCTCCTTCCATGGACCTAAGGAGGAAAAGACAAAGGTGATTTGGGAGTAAGTTGTCTGAAATTCCAACAAACCTCGGGTCCAGAAAAAATACCCATATGAAGTCTGAATGCCATAAAGGCAAAGGCAGAGACTTATTTATTTATTTATTTATTGTTAAATTTATACCCCGCCCTCCCCAGATGGGCTCAGGGTGGCTAACAGATGGGCACATATGCCAAAATTCCACAGGTAGGAACAGAATAAAACAAGCAATAAAACGATCATTCCTATAAAATACAAGTGCTCTGGATGTCACAAATAACAACAGATGGGGTCACACATGACAAAGTGGTCCCAGAGCGACATGATAGACTCCAGGTGGTACAACGATCCGTCCTTCCTCCCAGGGCTGTCCCGTTCCCCGATGACACCCACTCCACTGAGTGGTGGTGGTACGGTGATGGTATAGTGATGGCAGGAGGAAGAAGATGATTGTTACACATAGGACTGAATTTTGAAAGCTTGCTGGGTCATTTTGGATTTTGATTCTCCCTTGCATATATGTATAAATGGCATAAAAATGAGGTAAAAGAAACAGAAGAGTAACTAACAAAAAGCAATAAAATGAGATTGGCTGAAAGTGATGATGATGACATGCGGCCTCAAAAGGAAATGAACATGGTCATACCAGTTCATCCCTATTAATCAGTTCCAAGGACATTACAGAAGAGGCAGGACTCCCAGGACTAGGCTATGTGTAGGGTTGCTGGTCCCCTGTGGACGCAGAGGTCCCCGCCACCAGACCCCCCCCAATGCTGTCAATCACCTGGCCACTGGAGGAACTTACCAGAAGAAAGATGAAGGACCAGATGGTGATGTCATTTCTGGCTCACACAGGAAGTGATGTCGTCATGCAAGAGATGTCCAGGAAATGCTCCATTATTTGGGCAAAAACTCTATGGTAGAAGCTGTTTTTGCCCAGATACCAGAGCAGTGCTGTGATGTCATAGTGGGATGATGTCACTTCCAGTGCATACAAGAAGTGATGTAGCCATGTTGCTGGTGACTTCACCTGGGCCTCCCACTCCTGATAAGTCCCCCCATCCCCTGCTCTAGCTATTAGGTTGGACCTGCACCCACAAGAATCTCCTCCTTTTTCAGTGCAATAGCTGTATTACAGGCTAATACCCATCAGTTTGCTTTTTACTAACCAGTCACAAGCAGAACCAAATCAATTGGCAAGCTGTATGCAAATGAATTTGGCTGTGTCCATTTGCACAATCATAACTGTTTTCTCACTAGACTTTTTGGCTGCTGCTGCTCTCTGCTACCTGTCTGGCACTGTTATCTCTTCCAAATTTTAAAAAGACACATAAGTCTCAACTCAAAAATCTGATCTTGTGATCTGCCCATCACTTCTTGAATAAAATGCTGTTGACTGTTCAAGTGCAAAAAGCAAGACATGCATTCTCTCCACTTAAAAGATGTCTGACAGTACATTTGCAAAGAGAGGTTGAAGGGCACACAATGGTGTGCTTTATACAAGTCATCCCTGTATTTTGCAACCCTGGGTAGTACTGCCTCTTCTCTGCTACATAAGATGGTTAAGCTCTCAAACTGGGCAAAAACAGCAGTAAGAGGCTGCTGTACGATCACAAAGCTCTTTGGCACAGAGCTGCACTTCAGTCAAACTTCACAAGGGAACATCGATGCAGGATCCCACTTCATGTATTGTCAAGAGAATTCATCGAAGGCAAACAGGTTTGTTTGTTTTATTTATATTCTGCCCTAAGCGGGCTCAGGGTGGCTTACAAGGTCACATAGATTATTGTGATAGTAAAACAACACATAAAATTCAACAATCAAATTTAAAAATTTAAGATTTAAAAAGTTCAAAATGTCATATAAAAAGCAGGGTAAAAGTTGCCTTGGTAGTGACACTCGGTTGTAAACCTTCTGGGCAGTGTTCTGCGGTATCAAGCCACTAACTACTAGGTTAGGACTGTCAGCAGGGGAGGCCAAGAATGGGAATTTGGACGCCCGCTGCCTCAACTAAAAGCCTGGCAGAACAGCTCAGTTTTGCAGGCCCTGCAGAATTGTGACCAATCCTGCAGGGCCCTGATCTCAGATGGGAGCTTGTTCCACCAGGCTGGGGCCAGGGCTGAAAAGGTCCTGGCCCTAGTTGAGGCTAGCTGGACATCCTTCAGGCCAGGGACAACCAGAATATGTGGATCAGATGACCACAGAGCTCTGTGGGGCACATATGGGGAGAGATGGTCCTTGAGATATGCAGGTCCCTGGCCACATAGGACTTTGAAAGTCAGCACTAGAACCTTGAACTGGATCCAATACTCTATAGACAGCCAGTGGAGTTGGCAGAGCACTGGCTGAATGTGTGCCTGCACAGGCATTGCCATCAGGATGCATGCTGCCACATTCCGCACTAGCTGCAGTTTCCAAGTCATGATCAGGGGCAGCCCTGCATAGAGCGAATTATAATAATGAAGCCTGGAAGTGACCATTGCTTGGATCACTGTAGCTAGGTCCTGGGAAGCGAGTTAGGGAACCAGCTGCTTGACCAGCTGACGATGATAGAAGGCTGATCTAGCAATGGAGGCAACCTGGGCCTCCATAGAAAGGGAGGAATCCAAGATAACCACTAGATTCTTCACCCTTGGCACCCGCACCAAAGGC